TTCTTGATCCTACATTTATTTATTTATTTATTTATTTATTTATTTATTTATTTGTCTGTTTACCTATTTGAGACAGCATTTCTTGTAGCCCAGGGTGGCTTCAAACTTGCTATGTGGTGGAGGAGGACCTTAAACTTCTGACCCTCCTGCTTTCACATCCAGAGTTGTAGGTGCAGAACAAGGCCCCGACTTCCACCCCTGATTTTTAAGAGGCCTAGTTCTGCCGGCATTTGCTTTGCACTCTTTATAGCTTTAGCCTGATTTCTTCCCCTTTAGCCCTGGGAGGGAGCTGGGCCTGAGCAGCCATTTTAAGGCTAGCTTGGGCACAGAGTGGGTGACCTAGGTTTGACTAGGTTAGTGCCAAGATCAGTGGTGATGTTTCCATTGCAGATGCCACCCTCAAGTGGCCCCTGAAGGTTGCTGGGTCACCTGTAATGCGATGGCCGGCTCTGGGGCACAGATCCTTTGAGACAAACACCACTGGGTAGCTAGTGTGAGGGCTTGACTAATAGTGGTACCAGGAATTCAGGCCAACATGGAACATTTTCATATTGGGTAGGGGACTTTCAGAGAGAGTTGTGTTCTTTCTCTCCGAATCTGCCTATAGGTTGAGTAGACCCTGCTATAAAGAGTGAGTGAGGTCATTACTGTACTGATGGGGCATTAAGTCAGGGAACATAAAACAAGTTGAGTAGAGAATAGGAGTTCAAGGACACAGTTGCACAGGAAATCTCTGAGCCCTCAACTTTCAGTCATCAAAAAAGGACCTTTGGAAAGCTCCAGGAACTTTGGACATCTTTGCAGAAGTCTCTGGTGGTAAAGGAAGAATGACTAGTAGGTTTGATTGGCTCAATGGGTAGTACCAGGATAGAGTGGAACAGAGGCAGGCTCTGCTTGACATATGTGATAGTCTGTACTGATGACAGTGACCAGAGATGGCCCACATAGTGGAAAGGTACAAGTCTGAGTTGGTGGACCACTAGTTAGATCATCGTGGAGGGATTTGGACCAGGATAGCCTCGGGTGTGCCCTTCCTCTGCTGCTTCCTTGGTGTGTGAATTTCTTCCCTGGCAAGGCAGAGTCCCTTAACCCTCCCTGTGCCTTCTCCTGGAAGTCCAGAGTGGGAGGAACTGCTGGGTCCATTGAGGCATCTTAGGGCTGGAAAGGCAGGTCCTACTCTTGGGTATAGCCTTGGCTAGTCCCTGCCCCAGGAGAGAGGAGGCTGGGTGTCTTGCCCAAAGGGCCCAGCCTCCTACTCTGATTTCCCCATTGCTCACAGCCATCTCCCCAAACACTGTACTTGTCAAGTCCTTTCCCCCTATCCCCCACTCATTGTCCTAGCATTAAGGGTCTTTGATGCCACCCTGCTGCCCTTATCGCCTCCACACCCCACATGAAACCCTTGGCACACCATCACTCCTTCACTCTTGCTGTATGATCCCTGCCTTTCTCTCCATCCCTCTGTCTTCCTGATTATCTAATTTCTTCCCTCCTACACCCAACACGAATCCTGCCTTTCTTTCCCAGGCAGCCTGCCAGGTTGAGCTCTCCCTTGAGTTCCTCTGTCTCCTGGCACTTGGCTTGTGATCGGCTCCCTCTTGTGATTGGTGAACTTTCCTTAGGTTATAGAGCTCTGGCCCTCCGGCAGCCCTGAGAAATGAAGATAAGACTCATAGGTCTGCAACCCCAAGGTCTCATAAGCCAGAACTGTAGGCACTATGCAAATTATACCCAAATGTTATGCAAATGAGCACCTGCCATTTCTTGGCCGAGATGGCTCCTGTCCCCTGATGCAAATGGTGTTGGGACAAGCTGTTGTTTTGGTCTCCTGGTGTCTGGTCCCTGGTATCTTTGAGTCACCACCTGGCTGACTTGTACAGAGACTGCTTGGGG